GGTAACGGACTAGTCCGCCCGAACATCGTTTGTATCATGTCCGTGTGCTTTCTTTTGGAAATCGTTCGACAAGAAGAAAATTTATCGGGGCGCCGAATCGAAACAGATTCCATTGGTTGGGGCGCCGCCGTAACTAGGTTGGTCTTTCATTTTGTTGTTGCTGACGAAACCGATCCCTGCTCTAGTCAGTGTTTTGCAATTCAAACACAACGGGGACTTTACGTGGGACTGGGCCCTTGACTTCTTCCCGGGATACATCCCATAAAATGCTTTAATGACGGGCCGACCGTAACATCTCAATAAAAATACCGGGGAACAGGCAGAGAAACTTTCAGAAGAGAAACTTTCAGACATCAACACAAGCCAAGCAAAGGAGAACGAACGATAACAATAAGACAAGGCAAAAAAATATGCTAACGAAAACCCAACCGATCGAACACAAAACTGGGAAAACTGCAGCGAGACGACTGGGTGTGCTACTTCAACGTATCCAGCTTGCGGGGTAGGTCAAGTCATATACCAGAGTTACAAATACATACAACGCCGCTGTTTGGGGTTGCCGCGAAACGTGCACGGGGAGAGAGCAGCAGCAGTGGAATGCGCAAACGAAATAGTTCATCACCGCAGCACAGTCCGTTGAGCAAAAGTATGTTCAACAACGTGTACGAGTGAAGACCACGCGGCACATACCTTTGGCATCCACATGAACGATTGTTAGTCATACTCGAAGTCATGACTGCGCTGGCATCAGTTTGGACAGGAATTTGTCGGCAACCAGTAAAGATGCAAATGCAACAATTTGCACGAGGCGTCGAATGATTCGTCAGCAGCGGCGAAAGGAGCGGGATGAGGCCAGAAGACGGTCGATTTCCGGGTTTGATCGTAAGTCAACCAGTGCTCCGGGCATCGCGTTCTCTTTCAATGCTGGCGGGCAGCTGTCAAGGTTATGCACCAGCATGCCCGCAGTGTGAATCGAAACTGATGGTGCTACCGGCAGCTGAAAAGGATGAGCGCGTCAGGCGGTCCCACCGATTGCCGCAGGACTATTGCATCTGGCAGTGTGCATGTGGCATGTGTTGCAATTGGTCGACTTGCCAGTCTTTCCTCATCTCCTGAAGGAAAGGACGGTGATTCGCGGGCCGCCCCCATCTCCGCCACCTGAGTAGGCAGAACCGTTCCTTGACGTTTGCAGCTAGACTTGCATCCTACAAGCAGCAAGGCGCACAAGCGCGGTCGAGGAAGACGGGTTACCATGTGCCCGCATGAACAGCTTTGTGTGATGTGGCCAGCTGCCCTCGTGCATTCAAAACATTCAATATTACACGGCTTGCTCACAGTCTGCAAAAGCTGCCTTGCTCAAACAGATATGACCGTCATCTCCATTCGCATCTGGAGCGCAGTTGAAATTTATGCTATGTAACCTAAAGCTGTTACTTGTTGTGTCGAGGAGCAAATCTCTGCAAAGTACCAGCTGGCGATGTCTCGTTCAAGAGCACGTTGCAGTTCTTGCTGAATGTGCGTATTGCATGCCCCAGATTGTCAGGATGTGAGTCGATGCTTGCGGGCTGCTGCTGTCAGAGGCAATCTGTATGCCGAACAGAATCAACAGAGCACACTTGCGCATGGGCGTGATCTTATGTGGTGCTTTTATGTACCACGGCTTTTGCACCAGTATGCAAGATCGTAGCGATCACCACATTCCTTTCAGGTGATGGGCAGTATTGCTGATGGCTGATGGGATTGGAAGTGGATTGCATTGCCACCCGAGGTGCTAATCTGCCCGTAGAATCCAAGGCAGCAGACATGACCCATGGACCCATGGTCTTCTGCAGCTGTTCTTCCACTGGCATTCGCAGCCACTTCCTTGTCTAGCACGGTGCCTGCCCAGAGACTGATTGCATGGTGTTCCGCACTGAACGTCTGGAGAACGTTGGCAGGCCTGTAAAAGTGAAAGTCTTTATCCGGTCTGAGGGCTCGATCCTATTTTCGCTACGTATGTTTTCCAGACGTGACCTACATTGTGCTGCAGACTGCACCTCGCACGGTGCCGCAGCAAGCGAATTGAAACGCTAGTGGTGTGAGGCATTATGCTTGAAAGCTTGTTTACAGAAGCCGCTCGATGAGCGCCTGTCTGTTTACCTGTTTGCCTGCGTTGCCTGTCTGATTGGTATTCTACAGAATGAGAATGCCGTGCGTATGGCAGAAAACTAAGCCGTTTTTTGTCTGTTTTGAAATACTGCCACCTCAGATGATCTCAATGATCTCATGGCTTCCTTCCTTCAAACTTGCATGGGAGTGTCATGATCGTGTCAGGGCTTGGGTGTTTTGTGTTGATGTGCAGCATCGTGATGTACCCTTCATCATGAAGAGCGCAAGGCGAAGCCATTGCATCTTGAATTGCTCCTTGCAAGTCGAACTGGCGTCTGCCAGTTGTCGTGCTAGTTTATCGCCAATCAAACTATGTTCCGACCGTCGGCGTCAAGGGCCCTCCAGCTGCAAAGCTCGGCACAGGCGGGTGTGCAAGAGGTATTTGGCATGAGCCATCATGCACCTTACTGTATTCCTTTATGCAGCAAAGTCATCTCGTCATAAACCTCGTGGAGCACATGCATGACAAATAGGAGCGCAGACACTGTGCGGAATTGCTGCAACGCCAGAGCACCACGAATCATGTCGGCAAAGCTTGAACACCCTTCTTCGCAAGAGCGCACGCAGTCCATCCGTTGCGGCATGTAGTTCGCATAGATGAAGCCATGCCATCGTTTTTCTCTGATGACAGCGGCCAAGAGGACCACTTGGTCTGTTTTGACGCATCCTGGCAGCTGCGAATACTTTCAGATGAGTTATGTTGGGATGATTGACTGACTCAACTTAAGTGTACGATGTGCCAAGCAATGATTTGTCATGGGACCTGGCTCATCTTCATCGGATTTTGTCACCTCTGGCACTCCACCATCCTGCATCCTCAGCTTAACAGTCTGTGATTACTGTGCATGAGTCAGATGTTTCTCGTGCATGCGGGCAAACCGAGACCTGTTGTGCCTGAAGTGCCGGTGATGTTCCAGCATTTTGCTAGGACGGGCGTCGGATCGTCTCTCCGGGCACACTGGCAGGTCGTCTCCTGCCAGAACGACTTTCCTTGCCTTAGGTCCATTTCGGCTCAGGCACTTTGAAAGTTTTGCCACTGCCAATGCCTTTTCTCGTGAGATGTTTCGGTTTGGGCGAGACAAGCCAACGATCAAGCCGGTACCTTGAGTGCAGAGTCAAGATTCCCGAATGAATCAAGGTCTGGATCTGGAGGAGCCCGCTGTGTCACCATAGTGTCGGGCTTTCCGCATCCTTTGCCTTTTAAGTTGTTCAGCTTGAACTCAAATACGCATGCTGTGCTGGATCAGGATGCCCTTACCTTGGGAAGCCCGTCCAGCCCGTTGGCGGACGCCACAGTCCCTCGTTGCAACATGGGTTCCGCTGGCCAGTTGGCTTTTGCTTTTAACAGTACTGCTCTGCTACTGCGAATGCTACAGCAGCAAGTACTACTACTACTACTACTACTACTACTACTACTAATATCGATTACGACAATAACCACCCCGACACGACCACCAGTACCACGAGGACACGACGACCACCACCACCACCACGACGACCACGACCACCACGACCACCACGACCACCGCAACCAAAATGGTGATGTTGTTGTAGTTGGTGCTGCTGCTGCTGCTGCTGCTGCTGCTGCTGCTGCTGCTGCTGCTGCTGCTGCTGCTGCTGCTGCTGCTTCGGCCGCAGTGGTCCTGGTGACAATGCTCATGTTGGCTTTAATATTAGTGTGGAGAA